TGCTTGCGCTCGCGCTGTTGTTGGAAGAGAATGAGAGAACGGAACGCATTAATAAATGGCTAACCGGGAGTCGGAACACCGAGTAAATGCCTAAAAATATACACAGAGGGCGGCGTCAACGCTGTGGCCTGTTTCGCAGCTGACGTCGCTGTCGCTAACGCTCTCGCTGCTGTTGCTGATGCCATCAAATGAATCACATTCGCTCTACACACCATATTTGCGGCCATTCGCTCTATTCACCACAGCAGATGGTAGTCTCTTTCTCTCACAGTTTCTACTGCTCTTGAGCACCTTTGGCCGCCGAATGGGGCTCGACCCATTCGTTTAAAGTCCGTCGTTTATATCATTTCGTTTTCATTCGCTCGCTCGCCTCCGAAGGCGACACACCAGCTTGGTTCCAGCGCTGCTGATATTAATTCAATCTCATGGTCGTATTTTCTGGCAGTTTCGGCGGCAAAGCCAAGCACACTACCACCGCTCGGTCGCTATTGTTAATGATGAGGGCGCCTTCAGGGCAGCATATTTGCATGCATTTCGTAAAGGGCAATGGAAACCGTATTGTCGACAGCGGCAGGCAGAATAAGCTCCTGTTGCTGTCTCCTTTCTGTGCGCATGCACCGGCCTTGCACTTTGAATAATATTGCATGTGTATGTGTTCTTCATGTGTGTGTGTGTGTTTTATGGAATATACTGCAGCGCCGGCTAGCGGGCGGTAGTGAAAACGACTGTTGCATTTTGCGCCCATCATCTTTATTAACAAGAACCCCTCGCATGCATACAAACATACATACATACGAATATCCGCAGGCACACACACTCACAGGAATACGTGCATATGCATATTTGTCTGTGGCTTTGAGTTATTTTTGCATTTTAGCAACTCTGTAAATCTCAGCTGTGGTGGACTTGTATTGAAAAAATCTATAAACGTTTTTTGTGTTTCTATTTTCGTGGAGCTGTCCTCATTTGGTCAGTGTGTATTTTATATCCTTTTTAAGTGATTTGCTGGCTTCACGCCCGTTTCGCCCGACTTCCACCGATCGCCTGCTCTACACCAATGCAGAAACTTGTTTGGCGTGTTCTAAACGTTTGTTGTTGTTTTTCTGATTGCTTATTGTTGTGAGACAGAAAAAGCTTGTTTTGGCTGCCAAATGTCTGGCAACGCCAGTGGGCAATCGACAGGTAGAAAAAAATACAACACAGCATTAAAGTGCGTGTCTCTTTTGTGCTGGGAATGTATGTATGTATGTGTGTAAGTGCGAGCATAAGACGGCAGTGAAGTGGATCGAGTTGTTGTTAGTGATTCTGATCATGTTGTCGTTGCTGTTTAGGTTTTGGTTTTGGTGTGGCGTCACCAAACGTAACGCTAACCGGCCGCCTTGTAATTTGGTTAAGCTTAATGTATTCTATTAAGGTGCTAATTGCGAACGGCCGCCACTGTCACATGCGGAGCCCCTCAACAATTGCTGTTAGCTATCTACAAACACAAACACACACATACACAAACACTGGCGAGCTGCGATAAATGTGCGTTTGTAGCATGTGCTCTCTGGGATTGAGTTAGTCGCTTTTGATATAAATTTTTCATAAGCCACAAGAGTTGAAACTAACACACAGCTAGAGATGAGAGCGTGCTTAGCTTGCTGAATGTTAGAGCTATCGAAGTAAAATCATACAGCATATCTGGTTAACTTTTTATATATGTACATATGAAAAATCTTGAATGTATATGTTTGTTTACAACATTATTAGAGTGATTTTCGATTGTTTATTAAGTTTACTCGATTACTAACTAGTATATCACTGAATATTTGACCAAAGCACTACAGATGAACAAACTACAACCATTATCTGTTCTTCCTGCGCAAAAGCCAGTTCATCTCTAACCGAAAATATCAAGAAGCAGAAAAAGCAGGCTTCCTGTATTTGAAAAGCCACGCAACCACGCAGCGCAGATATATGTATGTATGCACGTATATTTGTACGTATTTATGTATGTAACGATGCGCGCACTAAAATATTCATGAATTTAGATGACATTGCCAAAGGCAGCACACAGATGATAGGAAGGTAGAAGGTGCATGTTGTTGTTGTTATTGCTGTTTGCTGTTGTTGGCCTGGCCAACGAGCGGCAGCAACAGCTGCTGTCCCAATTTGGTGCTAATCAAATGCACAAGCAAAGTGAATACAAGATACAACAAACAGACAATGCGAAAGAGAGCGAGAGAGACCACAGCACACAAAGAAGTGCTCAAATAATCACTATAAATGTAGTGTGACCATGCTTATACACCACACCACCAGCACACACACACACAATCATACGCATATAAATATGTAAATCTGCTATAGCTGTTATCTACGAAGATACTAGTGCACTACACACAATACAAAATAATATAAAAGACAAAATTAAAAACGAAATGCGAACAGTAACAAACAAACAAAATGGCAAAGAAACTGCTTTTGGTCATGCGGCGGCATCAGTTGAGCTTCAGTGCTCAACGGGCGCAGTACCGCTGCTGCACGATTCACCGTCTCTTGTGCTTTGTGAGCGAACTGCTCTTTATCTATGTGTGTGTGTGTGTTTGCGGGAGATAGAACTTGAGCTTTAGAGAGTGAGTGTGTAGTGAATGAGCGTGCATTTATTTATATAGATTGCTAATGATAGTTTACAATGACAGCGACAGCACTCGACAGTTAACGGCATACGCAATCTCGCTCCGCCCTAATGATTTTCTTTGGGCTTATCAATATAAAACGCTGGTTAGGTTCTTCTTTTTCTGATATTTGTATTTGTTGTTGGCACTGTTAGTTCAATTACTCACCAATTGTCGGCGCTGCACACCTTTCGCATTGCCGCCTGCAGCGACGCCGTTGTTATTGTTGCTGTTGCTTTTGCCAGGCGACGACCCCGTTTCGGCGGTGGACATCGCCACAAAATCTGTTGGTTTAATTTGCACTTGTACTTTGAAAACTTGGCACGCCTCGTTCTCTTCGTTTGTGGGCGCTATAATCAGCGCTGCTTTTGGTTTATTTGTTGTTGTTTTTCCGCTTTTTGTACTTTACCACTTTTCACTTTTAATTATTTTCTGTAATCAGGGAAGAAGATAGAAAAATAGAAACGAACTTAAAGATGCATGAAAACTACAGTCGCTGCACTTGTTTGTTATTGTTTTTTTTTTTTCCTTTCGCTAACACGACGCGCAACGAAATACTAATTGCAGACAGCCTTTATTACTTCATACAAATTGAGCTGGCAGCGAAAAAATGAACATATACACACGCACGCAAAGTTACGGGTGCTCTTATGCGCTATACGTAGCACGCGTTTGCTTGTACACTCCCACACACGACGAAGACGACTAAAACAAGAGCTAAAGAGCAGAGCAGAGTGTGCCGTGCCGCCAAGGCAAGCCGAGTGGAACTCAACATGGTGGGCTTTTGTTGTTCTCTGTAAAATTCACCACGCTTCTCAACTGCCAGCCAACTAGCTAGCCTGTGTTTGCCTGCCTACTTCTGTGCTACGTCAGGGGCTCGGCTTTAATTTCGTTGGGGGATTCGGCTGGCACCCACATGTGCGCCACTGCTTCGTTGCCGCTGGCGTTGCTGCTGCTTCTGGTTCTACTATTATTTCACAGGTCAACGAAAAGAAAAAAACCTGTGGTGTATTCAGTCGTAACGCAGCAGTAGGCTCGGTACCTGCCTGCGTGTCGCTTACAAAAATATGTGAATATGGGTTGCATCTATTTTGCGTATTTTGTCATACGGCAAACGACAGCGACTGCGGCATCAATATAAAAGCTCACTTATTACATTACCCCTCCAGACACGAAACACATACACACTCTCTAGGTATTTGTCATTTCGCATTGCTTTTCCCATGAACTTGTAATAAATATTCTAATTTTGCACTTGAGCATTGATGTACCGCTTGATACGCGTTTACTCTTTGCTTTTCTAAGTATATCTTATTATTGTTAGTGGTGACTTTTTCGAGATATGTAAGCGTCACCACGCGACTCAGAAACTAGCGAACGACGAAGCCGACAAGCCGACATCGTTCTGGTTAGACCTTTTTGTTTTTGTTTTTTGCGTCTCCAAATTACACTCATTTTAATTATAATTAATACGTATGTATATGTATATACATATTCGTATTTTTATATGTGTTTATCTGCTATATACAGAATATTTTTATATACATAAATATGTATATACTAAGACCCGGCCGTACATACATACACATGCCTCGCACTGTTCACATCACACAAGCACTCATACAAATACATATGTACATGCCCGTAAATACACACACACACACACATGAACGATTCACTTCCATGCATACATGTATGTACATATGTGGCTCATAATTAATTAAATCTGTAAACAGCGCCACTCAATTTGTGCAAATGTCTTGCATCTGCGGCTCGCAAAACAGTTTGCACACTTGGCAAAATACGTTGAAACGAGAGATATTGTAATTTTTTTTTACCCATTTTTAGCACTTATCGAAGTTTTTAATACGTCGTCGCAACACGTCCGCAAAACACACCCGTACTTGATGAAAACTTAACTGCGACTGACTAGTGTGACCGTGAGCGGAGAACTGTAAAAATGGCTTCTACTTTACGTTATGTTAATTCTTAACAGAATATGCACAAAACGCACAGGGCCGAAAACGCCTTTGTTAACATTACGATCTCATCTTGAGATAACCGAGTTTTATAACAGAAAAGTTAATTCTTAAAGCCCATCTTCTTAAATTCCATATTAGCCGAAACAGCACTGTATGCACCCATTTCTGATACTACTTTACTTGATCTAATTCGGAATGCGTTCATAGCTCTTTCCCAGACCCCAATCTATGTAAAGTGTCATCGTCGTAGTTAACAGCTGTTATTACCCAGCTAGGGTTACCAGATACTCCCACGGAAAACACCAAATACATTTAACATACATATATTTAATGTGAATTAAAGGAAAAAACGCTTACGTATGGATACATATGAATATTGTTATCGTAAAATTACTCAAATTATAAACAGACATGCTGATAAAACTAGCTTTGCTTATGCACACTATAAACATATCCACCCACGACTATAACTTATTGAAGCTACAGGTCCTCATCCATTTGCTCATCAGACTTATTTAAATTCACATTGCATGTATTGTTATTATCAAAGAACTCCTCATCGTCATAATCATCGAGATGTACGTCTTCTGACCCTGGATCCACTTGTCCAGAATTTGACATACGCACTCGCACCTGCTCCTTGGGCAACGACTGTGGCTGCGACTGCGTCAATTGCAAGGGCGATGGTTGCCATGGCACCAATGCTGTACATGGTCTTGGAATTGATTTAAGTAGCCATTCGGGTGGTATGGCACATGGTGCTGCTATGGGAGGAACGCCTTGTTTCAGTTCATCACAGATCACAATCCGATTGGCATTGCGTAGTTTCTGTTCAAGTTCCATGGCTGCCATCTGATAGGCCGGATTCGGATGATGTGTTTTACCCGTACTGGTCGAGGGTATGTCATCGGTGGCCAACCCTCCGTTCACACTTGGTACACTGTTATTGTTTCCCACTGTGCGCACGGAGCCCACACCGTTTGCATCTCCAGATATTTGCAGCCCACTAAAGTGCGCTGTTATTCGTTCCTCGGTTATCAGTTGTTTGGCAGGGCTGTTGAAAGCATTATATATATGTATAGAGGATAAATATACATATATAGTTTTATTTGTAGTTTATATACTTACAGCCCGGAGGCCAGTTGCTCCAGAGATTTCCGCTTGTGGTGCCACTTGCCACATTGTGGGTCAGTCTCAATATTATAGTTTGCGTTTGAGCCAAATTGCATGATACCGCCGGGCTGAGGTGCATTCGTTGTTGCCAGCATCCAAGGCATTCCATCGAGCATCCACGGATGTGTGGCTGGATGCGGAAAGACCGCTGGCTGTTCCGATTTGTGCAAATGACTTTGATCGGGGCCGCCGTAAGACCTGCAAGCGTACAAAAACACGCTCAACCAATTCTATGGAGTGCATTTAAAAACAGACTTACTGCATTTTTGGTTGAATTTCGCCTTTAGCTAAATCTTAGAAATCTTGTATTCTTTTTCTCAAGTTTTCAACTATTTTGTTTTCTTGTGTTTTGTTAGCGTTGCCACTTGTTTGCATGTTTTTGACAGTATCGATACTTTTTCACTGACATAGAATGTGCTAGAAAATGCCAAAGAGAGCATTATAAAAAGCGCGCTGTCTGAAGCTTTTTTAAATATTTTACAATTCAAGCCCAAGTGATAAAGTGTATAATTAATTTTGTTTAACTAAAAACTAGTCTAAGACGCGACAAAAAATAGTGTTTTAAAGTATAAAATAATAATAACAACAAATTTATTCAAGATGCGTTTTACAAGGTGAGTTTTTATTTATATCAATTTAAATGTCTTCAGTCAATTATTAATATTTCTCAAAATTGAATTTATGCCGTAAATTAAGTTATCCTAATTTTGATAAAAAAGATTTGTGTTCCAAAAACAATTACTTTAATTTTAACTTCAAGTTAGAATTTATATATTAAGCCATTAATTGCATAATTATCAAAAGACAATTTATGTTTAAAAATATGGTATCTTATTCGATTTAGAAAAATAACATTTAAAAAAAAAAAACAGATTTGTGTTTCAGAGTAAAAATTTTTATTTAAAATTAAATAAATAAAATAAAATATCTCTAATATATGTATATAAAATAAACTTTTTAAAAGTGCTTTTACTTGAAATCAAAAATTGTATTTCAAATTCAAAAGTATAATTTAAAAAGCAAATAAATAATCAGGAAAAATTTTTACATACAAACGATTTTACGCACGAGCTAACGTCACAAGTTTTATTTTGTTCCCCTTTCAATGTTATTTAATTTCAACTTTATCTTCCATGTGGTAATAATTTCGATTACTTCAATCGACGTTGCGCTCACACTTTCCCTTGCTTATCACATAATTATTCGAAAATAACATGTTTTTCTCATTTCAATCTTCGCAACGATTGATTCGCCCTGGGAACAACATCAGCAGACGCAGCATCACTCTCCAATGACGCTTACCAATAACATGCGGCTGTTATTGCAGTGTCTGTTGCTGCTGCTGATATGTTTCCTTTAGCTCATTTACTTAGGAAATTGCAGTCAGTCAGCAAGTTACTAGGCACGATGAATATATTTAGCGCATGGGGTTGGGGGTTGCATCGGATGGGGCTTATCAGCGCAAGACAACAATCGATCCCCCTGGGTGTTTATTGACGTCACAAATCGGGCCGATCTCTTGCGATGCAATTAGTAATCACGCTCAACAATTTCGTCAGGCTGGAAAAACACTCTGGCTAAAAATAAAATCCAATTATTTTCAAAACTATTTTCCGTTAAACTACAATCACTAACCAGAGAACACATAGACAACTAGTGGAAAGCTTTTTGCACGCTTTTTCTTGGACTTAAGCACCCCAGACTGCTTTGAATTCGCTCGGCGAATTACTTTTAGGCTCGAGCAACGAAAATATACGAAAGCACAATCATTTCGCTTCACGCGCTCGACCGAGATGGTCAAATGTTGAACAAAAGATCCTTCTATGCTCAATCTTTCCCTTGCTCTCTCTCTCTCTCAAATGTGTATATGTGTGTATGCATGTGAGCACAAGCAGCAGCTCTGAG